GAGACTCATTTCATGGTCTAACATATGGTCTTTCCTGGAGAATGCTGCAAATACATTTGAGATGAACATATTTTATTGGGTAGAATGTTTTTTTTTTTCTTTCTTTCTGTCTCTTTTATTTTTATTTAATTTTTATTTATTTTTTTTAAGTTTTTCTTTAGCGTATTATGGGGGTACAAGTGTTAAGGTTATTTATATTGCCCATGCCCCCCTCCCCTCTTGAGTAAGAGCTTCAAGCATGTCCATCCCCCAAATGTTGCAAATCTTACTCATTGTGGTTATATATACCCCTCCCCTATGTCTATTAGGTCTAGTTGGTTTATAGTGTTCTTCCAGTCTTCTATTTATTTATTGATCTTGTAACTAGTTGTTTTGTTCACTATTGAAATTGGGGTATTGAGGTCTTTGTTAGTAGTATTGCCTATTTCTCCCTCACTTCTGTCCATTTTTGGTTTATATATCTTGGAGCACTGTTGTTAGGTGTGTATATGTTTATAATTGTTATATCTTCTTGCTGTATTGAGTCTTTTGTCAATATATAATGTCCATCTTTGTCTTTTATAATAATTTTTGATCTATAGCCAATTTACCTGATATTAATATAATAACCCCAGCTTTCTTCTGGTTACTATTTGCATGGAATGTATTTTTTTCCAACCTTTCACTTTCAACCTATCTGGGTCTTTGGAGCAAAAGGAAGTATTTTATAGACAGCATATAGTAGAACCATTTGTTTAAAATCCCTTCTGCCAATCTCTGAATTTTAAGTAGAGATTTTAATCCATTTGTACATACAGTAATTGATGATAAGGAATGACTTACTTCTGCCATTTTGCTATTTGTCTTCTATTAGTATATGTCTTACATCTTTTTTTGTTTCTCAATTCCTCCATTATTGTCTACTTTTGCATTTAGTTGATTTTTTTCTAGTGTACTATTTTAGTTTCTCTTTATATTTCCTTTTCTGTATTTAAAAAAATTACTCTCTTAGTGGTTACCCTAGGGATTATAATTATAGCTTATATTTATAACATCCTAGTTTGAATTAATATTTGCTTCAATCATATAAAAAACTCTATTCCTATACATTTCCATCCTTTCCCCTTTGTCTTGTTATTGTCACAAATAACATCTTTATACATTATGTGTCTATGAACATAGATTTATAATGATTATTTTATATATTTTTATTTTAAGTCATATTAAAAAGGAATTACAAAACAATATTACAATAATACTGGCTTTTGTATTTATATATTTAGTTATTTTTATTGGTGTTCTTTATTCCTTTGTATAGCTTTAAGTTACTATCTAGTGCCCTTTGATTTTAGCCTGAAGGACTCTCTTTAGCATTTCGTGTAGGGCAGATATATAAGCTGAGTGATAAACTCTCTCAGCATTTTTCTGAGAATGTCCTAATTTACCCTTCATTTTTGAAGGATTTTTTTCTAGATATGGAACTCTTGGCAGATAGTTTTTTTTTCTTTTTCTTTCAGTACTTTAAATATGTCATCCAACTGCCTTCTGACCCCCACCTTGGTTTGGCTCTCAGCATTATTGAGGATCCCTTGCACACAACAAGTTGCTTGTCTCTTGCTGCTTGCGAAATACTGCATTTGTCTTTGTCTTTCAACAGTTTGATTACAATGTGTCTCAGTCTGAAATTCTTTGTGTTTATTCTATTTGGAGTTTATCGAGCTATGTGAATGTGTAGATCCATGTCTTTCATCAAATTTGGGACATTTTCAGATATTATTTCTTTAAATATTCATTCTGTCCCTTGCTTTCCTTTCCTCTGGTACTACCACTATACATATGTTGGTAAACTTGATGGTATCACATGGAGTCTAAGGTGCTTGTTTCCTTGTTCTTTTTCTTTGCTGCTCTTCAGACTTAATATTTTCAATTGATTTATTTTCAGATATATGTATTCTTCTGCTTGTTCAAGTTTATTGTTGAAATACTCTAGTAAATTTTTTGTTTCAGTTATTATGTTTCTTATCGCCAGAATTTCTATTTCTATGCCTCATATTTTTAAATGAAAACTGGACATTTTGAATATTATAATGTAATTACTCTGGAAATCAGATCCTCTCTCTTTCCAAGGGTTCCTTGTTGCCATGTGTTGTGGGTCATGGTTGTTTGTTTAGTGAATTTTCTAAACTATTTTTTTGTAAAGACTATATTCTTTGTCATGTGTGGTGCCTGGAGGTCTCTGTTCCATTAACTTAGTGGTTATCTAGTGATTTGGCAGTTATTTCTTTAAATACCAGGAGCCAAAATAAGAACAAAATCTCCTAGTCTTTGCAGCTGGGCTGTGTGTTTGTCTGTGTGTGTGTGTGTGTGTGTGTGTGTGTGTGTGTGTGTGTGTGTGCTAGGGCACAACTTAACTACTCAGTTAGGCAGTTTATAACTCTGTCTTTGCCTTCATTTCCTGCTTGTATTGAGCTTTAAGATTAGCCAGAGGTGAGAGCTTAGGATCTTCTCAGATATATTCTGAGTATGCACCCCATGCTGGGCATGGGTGTAGTTAAATTTCCAGGAATTTGTTGAAGCTTTTTGAAGGATTTATTCCCCAAAGCATCTTACCACCCAGCTTTTTATTCCAGGAGTTTCAGTGTTTCTATTGTTTATTCCAAGTGATATTCCTTGCTCCAGGTGACAGAAGCTGTTCGGCTTCATAGCCACTTTTCAACCCTGAGTGAGTTCCAAGTTAGGCAAAATAAAGGTGTGCTCTTTGTGTTAGTCCTTCAGGAAGCCACTTGACAGGTCAAAACTGGCAACCACAATTATTTGAAAACAAAGTCTGCCTCTTCTTCCACCTTCATCAGGAACCCACACCAGGGATGTGGGTTGCTGGCTTGAAGACTGCCATTGTGCCAGAGGGAGGTAAATTAAAATGCCATCAAGCCCTCCTACTGGATTTCAGTTACTCCTTTCTTAATTAAGCATTCACCTGGCTGCCATAAATTTTTGATAATCTTTCAAAGTTCTGACAAAGTTGATTCTGACAGTTTTTGCCAGCTTTTTCAGGGTGTCTATTGAGGGACAGGCCTTTGAGGTTTCCTGCTCTGCCATTTTTGCTGGCAGTCTTTTCATTAAAAAAAATATAATTTCCCAAATGAGCCAGGCATAGATAGACAAATACCTTATGCTCTTGCTTATATGTGGAATCTGAAAAAATCAAACTCAAATTATCATAGAGTAGAACAGTGGTTACCAGAGGCTAGAAGAGTAGGGGGAATGGAGATGTGATGGTCAAAGGGTACAAATCCTCAAAAAGGAGGAATGTTTTTTCTTTGAGATATATTGGACAGCATGGTGAATACAGTAAAAAAAAATGATGTATTATACATTTAAAAATTGCTAAGAGTAAATTTCAAATGTTCTCACCACAAAAAATAAATATTTGAAGTAATAGATATGTTAATTAACTTTACTTAATTATTTGACATCGTACTCATAAATAACATCACTTCATACCCTTTAATAGCCAGAATTTATATAGGTTATTTTCTCAAGATAATTTCTAGATAAAGAATGCTGCAATTTAGGAATAAAGGGTGTAAGTTTAGAGTTTTATTAGATAGATGACAACTTTGTCCTTGCTTGACGAAAACTAGCCACAAACATAATTTAGATTGGAAGACTCTCTCCTATGGGTGACTGTGGTTAAATGTTGACACTAAAGGTCCATTAGATTCTTCCATTTTCTTATTTGAAGATGATATAATTTACCTTTGCATTGATTTTAACAAGGTAGAGGATATTTGTGAACACGAAGTCAAAGTAGAAGAAAAATGTATCCGTTTCTTCTAAGGGTTAGGTGGGATCTGGGATTTTATATCCTACTTCTAGTCAAAATGCCTTTGAAACCAGTGAAAGTTCTGCATATAAGGAGAGATCAGATGGGCTGGGCAAATATTACCAAAGAGAGACTTTTAGCTAATGGAGATAATAAAAACCTTTTGCAAACCTACAAAAGTCCTCACACCCCAGAATACAGTGTGGTTATATTCAACTTCAAAACACTATGAACCAAAATATTTCAAGACCAACTGTCAAGTTTCAGAGAAGGGTTAAGGTCTAAGGTTGTTTTTATTTGTGTTTGTTTTTGTTTTTATTTTATTTTTTATCCTTTTATTTTTTTTTCTTCTTTTTTTATTTTTTATTTTAGCGTATTATGGGGGTACAAGTGTTAAGGTTACGTATATTGCCCATGCCCCCCTCCCCCCTAGAGTCAGCATCTCAAGCGTCACATCCCCCAAACGTTGCACATCTCACTCACTGTGTTTGTATATACCCATCCCCTCCTCCCCCTCCCACCTGCCTAACACCCGATAAATGTTATTCCTATATGTCCACTGAGGTATTGATCGGTTAATACCAATTTGCTGGTGAGTACATGTGGTGCTTGTTTTTCCATTCAGTGTTTTTGTTTTTAAATAAGGGTTAAAGTATGAATTTTCTGTTATTTTTCCTTAATGAGAACTGATGATGAATAAAAATTCTGAAGCAGGAATAGCAAATGACTATCAATTGAGTTAAGGTCTGACTGGTGCTGTTTGCATCCTTTCCTCCACTTTTCCTAACTCTCTTGACCATTAGCATCAAGCTCAAATTATGTTTTTCAAGGGCATTCTGCATGAGAATGAATGGTTATGTCTCCCAAGAGAAGGATGGCATAATTTACCAAATAGCAAAAACTCTTTTCCTATTTATTCATTCATTCATTATTTATGAATTGCCCTATATACATCAGGAACTGGGCTGCATGGTGATGGAAAAGGTGTGTGTTATTTTCAAAGACTGAATGTCATGTCAGAGTTTCAGGGTTGGAATGCTGTTTCTGTCAGTTGTAGAAATATCTAGGCTATGCCTAACCTTACAAACTGCTATAAGTGAATTCAATAAAAATAATAAGACATAGATTTTCTGAATTCATTCAGATTGTGTCCTGTATAACTGTTAAAACTCAGTTATTTTTTACTTTTCATCAGATTATTTGGGAGTTACCTCAGCTTCAGTCTGAAATGTGGAAGGTAAGTGGCTTAGATGTGCTGATTAAGAGTGAAAGCATTTTATTTTTGTGTAAAAATCTCTCTCCTATTGGGTCAGGTGTTCCAGCAAACAATTACTTAATGAAATGTGTATTTACTGATAATTATTCTGGACAACTGTTAAGAAAGGTTTACAGTTTCTTCCTTTTATTGTCTAATTTCTGGCAAGGGTACCAAAATTTTTAAGGAGGGCTTGTAGAATCACAGATAGGTCAGAAAGGAAACACTACAGGTCCTCCTCGGAAAAGGTATTCTTGCTGATCTAGGAGTATTCACAATTTGACTCTTTTCATTTGCACCAAAATTTTACAGAGAATTTTGGAATCAAGTTTTTAAACCCTTGTGTGGCTCATTCATTTTGAATAAGAACATGAAGAGTTATTGAATGGGCTAGCCAGAAGTGGTGGAAAGAAGTTGCCCACAATTTGGTTCAGCATTTTTGGAATGGACAAAATGTCAAGTTAGAAAAATTGCTGGCTATGAAGTTGCAGCACGATTTAAGCCCAGTGTGACATTTTATCTAAACTGCATTTCAGAAAATAAGGAAATGGCATCTTTTATCTCCAACTAGGTTCTGGAATTAATTTGCTCTTTTTTACTCACATCAATATATTTGTCCTCCAGTGGCATATGTTTCATCAGGGCAATCATGTGGAAAACTCAGACACAAAGAAGTATTTGTTTCTTGCAAGAGCAGCGTGAATAGGACATTAATGTAATTTCGATGCCAGATAAAGTACTTTGTTATAGAAGAGACATCATAATGAAGAGACTTATAGAGAGCCTGGGTTTGTTGGTCTTTGGATTTCTTCTGTGGTAGAGTAGTAGAGTTGGCTCAACCATTTCAAAAATCTGGGTATAGTGTGAATACTTTTTATTTTTTCCCACTTTCTGAATTGGGTAGCTTTTAGCAATTTCAGATTATAAAGATTTTATAAAGGATTTTGTCATGCAGATCTGGTCCAATAGGGTAACAATATGGCATGCACTTAAGAGATGCTGTCCACAATGAAGTTCATCAGCCTTTGGGAAGCAGGATAAATCTATTGAATATTTATAGCAGTACTAAAGAGATTATGCCTAAAAATGTGGAAATATGTGATGATTCAGTTCTTATGGAGATAGTACAGGAAAATAAAGATGATAATGACAGTATTTTATCAGAAATGAGTTAGGCTATGAGGGCTAATCCACACATACTTCAGGATTGTAAGAAGATCACAACGATGGAGCAGAAAGATCAATGGATGAAAAATCAGGAGGCTGGATTCTAATGCCAATTTAACAGCTGGGCCACCTAGAGCAAGTGACACTGGTAGGATTAATAATGCTTGTCCAAGTTATTTCATATGGCAGTTGTGAGCATTCCATGTACTAAGTAAAAATAAAGTTCCTTGAAAATTAGAAATTACCCATCAGTTGTTATTTCAGAGCAGGTTTAACAACTGGAGATTGACAGAGGGACAGATCTTGTCTAATGTAAAAAAAATAAACAAAAGTATATCTGCAACAAAACATAGTTTGGCATCCACTAAAATATAAGTGGTACCACCTACTATATCTGGGACTGTTTCCTGTCGTATCTTGGGTTTTCATATTAAGCTTCATCTTGAATTAATCCTTTTGTGCAATTTATGATATCACAACTTCAGTGTAGGTCCCCGACAAGGATGATTGAGAGTTATTGATGGAAGGCTCAAAATGCAAATTAAAGGAAAACTCGTATCTTCCCTGTACTCTCTTTGTGAACTCAGCAGCAGGAAATGTGGTGGGGATATTTTAGCAAGATCTTCACTGTCCACCTGCCTTCTGAGAGCTGAGTGGCCATGTTCACAGGATGCTTCATAGACTGAATCACATCCTAGCTAATATAGACTTAAATAGAGGGGCACTCAAACTGAGTAAGTCGAATTACTTTTTTAAATGTAGTCTTAATTACTTTCTATGAGGATATTTCAATTCGAGGATCAAGATACAATAATTGTCAATCAACCAACAATGAATTCATCAAAATGTTGCCAAGTTGAAACCCTAGTGGGTCTCACTCATTAGTGTAAATGATTAATGTATAATCAGCTTATTAATTTTCATTTATTTATGTCCTCAAATACAATGTCATGAAATCTTATTTTTACTATAAATTTTCCTGGACATTTGTATTGTTGGTCAAAGATCAACTTCTGCCTGGCTTCTTCTGACTTATGCTAAGTCCCAAATAATGGAGTTCAAAGCTCTTTCCATAACCTACTAAACTTCAGAATATTGGAAATTTAATGCAACATCAGTTTTTATTCCTCCAAAATTTGATTCCATTACTTGGTCTTCCTTTTCAATTTAACAAGAAAATTACTTAAGAATCAAGAGAAAGATTGATATGACAATACTTTAGTCCAACAGAAAGCTCTGTAAATATCCAAAGAAACTTCACTCCTCAAGTATTTCCAAGTCGTGTTTTGCAAATATAAGATATTGAGATAGTCCTAACCAGTTTAATTTCCTTAATTCCTTAATTTCCTTACCGTTTGGCATTCAGAACTCTCACTGTCAAAAATAAAATGTAATAAAAATGAAAAAATAAATAATTTTAAACAGCAGGAAAAGAGAAATCATGAATCATCAGTTGGGATTGGAAAAGCTTAGTTGTTTATCCCATTGAAGCTGCTGTAATTTTTTATTTTCCTTGAATAGTTAGGTGGGGCCAATAGATTGAAAGACTATTATGAGTCAAGATTCTGGGTTCTATTTTTATTTCCGTGTTCTTGCATCTAGTTGAATTTCCCCATCAGCCAAATACTGAGATTTTGAGTGTATTGTTTAGTGAATGTTTATATAGACTTAAGATTCTTGGATTAAAGGTGCTATAAAGGAAGAGAATATTATTATTATTACTCATAAGAAATAGTCTCAATGCTGATTTTGGCAGGGGCTGACTGCCTTCATGTTAGCTAGCAAAGAAAAATCAACACAAATTCATCAAGTACATTTACCTGAATTAGATACTAACAGCATAAGAACTATCAGGCTTGGAATTAAGAATACTTTTTTAAGAAATTGATAATCAAGTATAAACAGTCTTTCTTATGAAAATAATACAAATAATTTATGTACTCTTGATTAAATTCCTGGTAAAATGCTGGGCACTAGTAGACAATTAAAGATTTGTTGATCGATTTTCCCCCTTTATAGCTGGTTAATTCTATTGTTTATTCAACCCACCTGAAGCAGAGTAGATGATCCAGGAAGAGTCTTTATAAATAATTATCATTCCTCTGCTCTGAGATTCATATTTCCTTAGAGCTAAATTTGCAGAGAATGGCCATATATCAGCAATGTTTCAAAGCATGTTTCAAAGCATTTTCAGAGATGAGAATTTGAGGATGGGTTATCCCTAATGTTAGAGTTTCTGTCACCCAAAATTTCAATTAGGATGACTTCAGCTGTAGTTAATAGGAAACTTCTATTAAACAGGTTAAAGTAATTTATTATTTCCCAGAGACACAGTTTCTCAGGGCTCTGTCCAACTGGCAGCTCTGTAAATATCCAAAGAAACTCTCTCTGACATCCCCCTGGGCTCTGCCATGCCTACATGTTGGGTTCGTTCTCAGGCAGACGTCGAGATGACTGCAGGAGTTCTAGGCATCACATCCAGGTATGACTCTCTCCAGAGAAATAAAAGGGGCCATTTAATCCTTGTGAGCTTTTTAAGAGAAGGAAATCTTTCCCAGAAATCCCTGCCCTACCTAGTAGACCGTCCTTCGTGGATCATCGGCTAGAATCAGGTCACGTGTCTTTCATGCGCACTGGCAGGTGAATGGGGTTTGAAGGATTGGCAGGCTGAGTGGATAGGGAAGAATTTACGCTGAGAGATGCCATCATGATACCTTCACCTGGGGAGTATTCAGTTCAAATCTCCATAACGTAAATCCTCGTAAGTACAAATTCTATAATTTATCAATCCAGAATATACTTTGAGTCTTGAAGTTGCTAATTTATGTTTTATAACCCAACCATTAAAAACATCTAGTATTAAGAGCTTCTCTTTATAGAATCTGTGTTTCATGGATTCTGAAGAATGAAACTAAAGTACAAAACCAAAATAAAAAATGCAAAGCATTCATAGCTTTAAATATCTTTACTATAGGCTCTGGAACTTCTCATTCACTGCTACCTCTCAAATGCCCAGGCAAAGAAGAGGGTAGGAAGGGCAAGAGGAAATGATTATCTCCACTTACTAAGGCCTTCAACCCCTCTATGCCAAAAGCATCTTTACTGGTCAAATTTATTAGACTGTAGTAATGAAAAGAACCTAGGACAGGGACCTGGGGAACACATGTTTGCTATATGTAGAACCAAAGAACTTTTCTCTATGTGACCTTATACTTTAGGTAACAAGGCGATCTGTGCTAAGATCTCTAATGCCCTTTTTAACTCTAATAAATTACAGTGGTGGTGGTCTTTAATTTCTGCTATGTCTCCTTGGAAAGAGATCTCTTCAAAGCAAATAGCTCAAAAGAGAGTAAACCCAACTGAGTAAGACCAGGCCTAAGCAACTTCAGAATAATCGAGTATGAGCTCTCTGAATGATCCCATGACTGAAAGCAAAGCATTGTTATTTATGAGTTCCAGAAGAAACACAGTGCCTGGATCTCAAATACCTTTATCAGTATGTGTGTGGCAGAAAACAGGGGAAAAGGGAATATCTTTTATAGGAAAGCATTAGTATTGGAATACAAAAAACATTGCACTTTTCAACTCTCTTCAGTTTATGAAGCATTGCTATTTGCTCATGTGATCTTCACCACAACCTGGTGATGTAGAAAAAAAATATGGAATGGCCTTCATATTATAGGTAGAAAAAACATATAAGATTCAGAGAGCCCAGAAGTATAAAATATTCTTTGCAGAGCCAGGAACAGAGTTGGATCTTTTCAGTGAAGAAACAGTCTTTAGGGGATTCCACCTATTTTTTAAACCAGTAAGAT